TCACCCCCACATTGGATTCCTTTTGTGTTGGAGACTCCCCACATTGGATTCTTTTCAGCATTAGCTTCTCACCCCCACATTGGATTCCTTTTGTGTTGGAGACTTCCCACATTGGATTCTTTTCAGCATTGGCTTCTCATCCCCCCCATTGGATTCCTTTCGTGTTGAAGACTCCTCACATTGGATTCTTTTCAGCATTGGTTTCTTACCCCCACATTGGATTCCTTTCGTGTTGGAGACTCCCCACATTGGATTCTTTTTAGCATTGGTTTCTCACCCCCACATTGGATTCCTTTTGTGTTGGAGACTCCCCACATTGGATTCTCCTGGTGTTGGAGACTCCCCACATCTGATCCCTATATAATACTTGCACAATTTTCATATCTCCACCACAACTCTTCTTATTCTATATTCATAACTCTTTACATTCCTCCTTAGATTATGGCATCTAGTCGCGGAAAATCTTTTTTACAAGAAGAAGACCAAGTTTTATGCGCCACGTGGCTCGAAATTTCTCAAGATCCAGTCATGGGTTCTAATCAAAAGAAGGACAAGCTGTGGGAACAAATTTCTGCTTTATTTCATGAAAGGATTTCCAATATTTGTAATGCTCAAAGGACTCCAAAGTCTCTTTCATGCCGAATGCAATTAATTATGAAGGCCATCAGTAAATTTCGAGGATGTATTCGACAAGTCGAGCGCTTAAATCCAAGCGGTGCTTCTGAGCTTGACATTGTAAGTATTTTGAATAACATAAATCTTGATTATCATCTACTATCATGTTATTAATAAATGTTTCTTCCTCTCTTGTGGTAGATTAAACGTGCTAGGATAATATTTGCAGAAGATCCAGAAGAGAGAAAGGGGTTTCTATTTGATCATGTTTGGTCAATTTTAAAAGATGCAGAGAAATGGGCAAATATAAGTGTCAGATCGCCTGCAACTTCCAAAACTTCAAAGTCGCGCTCATCTCAGGGATCAGATTCAAGTTCTCCTGTCGTCGACTTAAACGACGATAATGAGGAATATACTCATAATGACGAAGATATGATAACAAGTCGACCGACAGGAAGGAAGAAAGAGAAGATGAGGAGGCGACAAGCAACTGAATCCAACCTCGACTTGGAAACTCTCAATAAAAGCAATCAAGAAATTATCGATATTTTAAAAAAAGTCATGGAGAACGAGAAAATGATAGAATAACAATGCACCAGATTATGATGTTAAGGGCCGAAAACGAAAAGAAAAAATTAGATATCCAGAGGGAACGCCAGGAAAGTAAAATTATGTTGATTAATCTTGATTCTATTACTGATCCTTCGGAACGCGAGTATTTTCGAATTAAAAAACAAGAGATTTTAAATAGAAACACAACCGGAGGTTCTTCATCTGATATTCCTAATCCTGAATATAGTTATGCAGGAAGTCAATACGGAATACCTGACTACAGAAGCGGTGGATATGGAGGAAATGGCCTGCCCGATTTTTAGTTTTTTTCATGTACTTTATTTTCATGTACTTTCTTTTTCTATGTAATGCCGCTGAATGTAATATATAAAATTTCATCATTCGGAGTAGCTGTGAAGGTTGTTCCAAATATTATGCTATATTTTCTGCTTTTTAAAATTTAAAGGCTCTTATCTATGTCTTATTATCAATTTATTAAAGATAATTACTTTTATTTAAATAATGAGTATATTATATATTATACTTTTAGTATTAAATTATAATATATTTTATATTTTAAATTAATTCATATAATTTTTTAACATTTTATATTTTTTATATTTTTAAATCTATTTAAAGTATTATAAAAGAAATCAATTAAAAATGCAAATAGAGCTTCATATAGAGGAGGTGGTTGGAGTTACCCCCCTCTAAAAAAGCATATGCCCAAGAATATGCTTTGGGGAGGCTGCATTTTGCAGCCTCCCCATTGGAGTTGCTCTTATAAGTAGAGAAAAAATAAGTCAAAAAATCTCAACTTATTTTTTCCCTACTTATAAGTAACAAATAAGTAAAATAAGTAATATTTACTAAATGCCACATTCGCACCTTATAAGCAAAAAAAGTTACTTCTAAGGAGAAATAAGCAAGTTGTGAAACATGCCCTTACGGCCTTACTTGAACCATAGATAAAAAAAACTTTCTACAAAGAAAAATGATAAGTGCACTACACTTTTATACTACTTTGGCAATACCATAATAGGGGGGTTCTTCATTGAAAATTATAATAATGAAGTGTTAACTCAGCATGACCTCACTCTTTTATTTGTGAAGGTGTCAAAACAGTACGAAAAGTATAGTACACTTACCTTTACTCACTCCTACAAAATGTAGGTTAATATGTACTAGCCTATATGAACAATTTCATAAAAATGATCCTAGGGGCTGTTTGGTTCAAGCAAAAGTTTGTCTTTTGGTGTGGATTATATGTTTTGGGATTAAAAATTGAGTTTTTTTGTGTTTTGGGATTCCATATTTGGTGTTTGTTTCAAGAAATTTTTTGGAATGTTGAATTCCAAAAATAAGAAAAGTACCCGATTTTTAGAATTTGCCAAATCCTCTCAATTGGAGAGGATTTGGCAAATCTCATAAATGAGTATACTTACCTCTCTTTTTATACCTTTGTTTTTTTTTTTTTTTTTTTTGGTCCTTTTTTTTTTTTTTTTTTTTTTTGAGGTAACCTCACCAAGATAGGTATATTCACCTATTCTTCTTTTTAAGAATTTGTTATCTTATAAATTGGGTTTGAACCAAACAAGACATTACAAATTTTAGGATTTTTTTTTGTTTAATAATGTTGAACCAAACAAAATGTTAGAAATCCTAACATGTATAAAACCTTGTGGATTTGAAATTCTCCACGAGATTACAAATCCTAAAATGTTGGCATTTAAACCAAACAGCCACTAAATATCATCTCAAATTATAATAAGTCATGCACAACTTTTCCAAAATGGGCATCTACCTTTAGGACACCCCTAGCTTTATAGAAAAGGACATTGCCTTTCTCAAAACCTTGATTATATATAAACTATTCATTCAATGCAATAAAGGACGTAATGCTGGTAATCCTCTAATAACTAGCTAGATGCAGACAAAGATCGTGTGAAAGGTTTAGATTCTCCCATCCCCTATCTATATAGACCTTCAAACATCCAATTTCAGAGGAAGAGAAAGAGAGGAAAGCCAAGGCGAAGAGAAGAGCAAGTCCTAAGGCTCTCTTTTTTCCTTGGTAACTTTACAAAAAGGAAGAAATACACACACAAGTGTTATAAAGGTTCTATCTTGTATTCTCTAGCTCCTAAAAATCATGGGTGAAGTAAGTCTCAAGCCATGTAATGAAAAAATTGTTTCATTTTAATTTATTTCAGCTATACGTTGTTTTGAAATTAACTACAACACCTGTATATATTTTGCAACACCTAGTTGTTTTGAAATTTAAATGTTTATTTTTTAATGTGATGAAAAGGAACAGAAGGAAGAAGGGGAAAACAAGGAAGAGGTGAAAGAGGCAGAGAAGAAGGAAGAAGAGCCATCAGAGATTGTGCTAAAAGTTGATATGCACTGCGAGGGTTGTGCAAGAAAAGTGGAAAAATCACTTAGAAAATGCGATGGTACGTATTTCTCTTAACCTATACAATCATCATGATTCTTAATATTTATATATTATTTATTCATTTATTTAACTAAAAGGTATTGGATATGATTTTTATATTTTCCTTATTGGACCTTCATTTGCATGAAGAAGAAGGAAAGAGATGAAAATTGATAACACATCACAAATTTAACCAACCCACGAGAACGAGCAAGATTTATACTTACATTTTTTTAAAAGGAAAATATGCTTTTGGCGGACATAACAACACGTCAACAACCACACGCCAACAATCACAACTACTGCGTCTTTGGTGGACATGGGAATAGATGTATAAATATAAGGGTTTTTTTGTGGAAGCCACCTAAAAGTTAAGCCTCTCATTCCATGTTTTTTTGGCATGAAAGTTTAGATATTCCATCAGCAAATAAGCTTCTTATACAAACTCCATATTTAGACAACTCTCGTAGCGAAACAAAACTTTGCTATTTACAGATCGCTAAACACCTCACCAAACTACATCAAAATAGAAAACATCCAGCTCCATGAAAAAAAGGAGCTCAATCAATAACACTCAAACGCAAGTAATACCAAAAACAGAAACCTGTACGATCAAGCTCTTAATACTCTGCTAGCAAACCTTGGGTTCAAGCAACAATATTTTTGGCACCATTCCATGTTACCATTCTTAATTATGCTAGTTTCACAAAATCATCTTTACACACATTTCCGTCAACATATAACCACCTATATTTTTTTTTTTTTTGCCATCTATTTTTCAATCCAAAAACTGTAGTTTGACAGTTTATCTCTGTGCGTGTGTTATGCATGTTGTGGGTCAACATGAGTACAAAAAATTAAAGAAAAATAGAAGAACAGAAGGTTGGCAATAAAAAAATTTTACGCACATGCAATCTTTTGGCAACTCGAAAGCCAGTAATCAATCATAAGTAGCACTGACACAATATATAAATAAATTTATTAAGACATAGACATTATAATGACTAATTATACACCGTGTGGCAAAGAAAGCAAGTTTTTACTAGTAATCCTTTACGCAAGACCTCAGAACAAAGGCCGCAAAAAACCACAAAATCAAAAATAAAAATAAACAAAGAAGAAAAAGAAAAAAAGTTCTCGCACCAATAGTTTTGGACTAAAGGGTATAATCAATATTTCATTAATATTAACAGAGAAATTGGATGGAAAAATTGAGTGGTTATTTATTAATAGAATGGTAAATAAAAGTGATTTTTTGAAACTCAGGTAACTAAGGGTGATAACATAACATAGGAACTAAGTTAGGCGGTGTTTGCTATAATAATAATAATAATAATAATAATAATAATAAAAGAAGGAAACAATACCATGTATTCAACGTATTCTGACCTCAGAGGGAAAATTATTCCAAAAATGATAAGAAAAAGACGTACGAGTGGTTTTAAACTTAAACTAGTTTTCAGTGGACCTACTTTGAGTAGACACGAGAATCTCATAGTTTACGGGCCTTGCACGTGCACTTGATGGAGCCAAATTGTGCATCAAGGGGCTCAACATAAAATAGCTAGCAGCATAAATCGTTTAGGTCAGCTGAGATATAGAGCTTTTGTTAAGGTAAAATATTATATGAGAAGTGGTGGGATACATCTCGTGTTTAGTATCCAATGGACTTTTAAGTCTAGCTAGTTGGCCTTTAGGCCAAGTTAGTTTTCTTTAAGTAAAAATAGGGTAAGGCGCCCTATCATTGTATAAATGTTAAGTAATTAAAAGTATTTACAAATATCTATATCTAGAAGTGATTTAACGCTAGTTCCTAAATTTGTAGAGGATCGGACCTATGTCATCACTCTACACAATAGAGGAGCAAAGTAAAATCACCCATAGATATACTAAAGGAGTATACAAAGAAGAGAAAAATTAACAGCCCACATCAATTAACACAAAAACTGTATGTAAGTCTGAAAGAGGACTCCACTTGCGCACAAAAATCCCAAAAATCCCAAAAGCCATAAAACCAAGTATCCCTACTGATAGCCTGCTCCACCAATATTGTCCTCGCACGTGGCAATCAGGTCTGAGATCCCCTTTTCCTAAACGATTGCCTTGAACTTGAGAGCTCACTTAGATGCCGCAGAACCTGTCCAGAAAGTGAGATAGTTATCTAGGATGTCAGTTGATGGTGATTTGGCGTGGCTCCATTGAATATGAAGTTATTATAAGCAGACCATACAACCTAGCAAATGGTTGGAAAGGCATGTCTCCATAGCAGCCTCACTTCAGGCTCTATATCTTTGTTAGTGCACAATTCGAAGCATTGGTATGTGGATGTGGGAAGAGCTTGGATACTAGTGATTGGGATGAAAATGTCCCAAACCTGTTTAGCCAGTTGACAATAAAGGAAGAGGTGGTTGTGGGATTCTTTGTCATTGGAGCATAGGGAGCAGATTGGGTCTCCGGTCCAACCTTTTGCAGTGAGCATGTCCTTGGTATTGAGTTTGGTCATAGAGAGAATCCACATAAAGAATTTGACCCTGCTGGGAAGAGAGCTCTGCCAAATAATAGAGTAATAAGGGTTGCGGGTGCCTCCATCAGAGATGAAGGAGTAGAATGACTTGACAGAGAAAATACCAGTGTGGTCTAGTGGCCAAATAACATCATCTAGGACAGAAGTAGGGGAGAGGTTAGTAGATTCTAATCACCGATGAAGATCTTGAATTTGGAGCCTGTCATGCTGACCAGTTGGGTGTCTCAGAATTGGTCTCCAAAGCCAGATCCCTCCTAGGAATCTCCCTTGAGACTCAATGGAGGCTTGCTTAGTGAAAGCCAGATTGTAAGCCAAGGGAAGAAACTAGCAAGGGAGTTGTTTGCTGTCCACTTGTCCTCCCAGAAGAGGGTCCTAGAACCATTACGTAGTTGCTATTTTACTATAGACACAAAATCTTGGTAAGCAGAGTGAACATCTTTCCAGAACTTAGAGCTATTGCCTCTAGGGGGTGTGCTATGAGAGCTTGGAGGGTAGATGGATTGAAGGACTTGAACAACATGGTTGTTGTTAGAGAAATATTTTCATAGCCATTTAGCCAGGAGGGAGGTGTTAAAATTCTTAAGATTGGAGATACCCAGATCCCCCAAGCTATAGGGGAGAAGACATTCTCCCATTTGACTAGGGCTTTATCTCCCGCATTGATATTACCACCCCCTTATAGGAAGTTACGATTGAGTTTGTCCAAGGCCTTAATGAGCCATTTATGGAGCCCGAAGAAGACATGTAGTAGAGTGGGAGAGAGGAGAGGGCTGAGTTGATAAGCACAAGACGACCACCAAATGATAGATGTTTGGCTTTCCAAAGAGAAAGTATCTTGTGGAATGAGTCTATTAGCGGTTGCCAGTCAGATTTGGAGAGGGGGCCTTTATTGAGAGGAAGGCCAAGGCATTTGAAGGGGGGATGCAAAGATACAGTTCAGCAAATTAGCAAGAAGGGGACCCCGGTTGACAGATTTACCACTATAAAATAGGTTCACTTAGAGAAGTTGATACCCAGACCTAAAATATCCTCAAAGTAGTAAAGGATGAATTTGAGAGTTGAGATGTTAGGGATATCAGCTTTGCAAAAGATAAGTGTGTCATCAGCGAACTGGAGAGATCTAATGTTATTGAGTTTGCCTCTGAGGTGAAGTTCAGAGAGGTCTACATGGTCAATGCTATTGGATAGCAATCTGTTGAGAGCATCAACTATTAAAAGGAATAGCATTGGGGATAGAGGATCCCCTTGCCTGAGACCTCTGAAACATTAGAAAGTGTTAGTGGGATATTCATTGACTAGCCCAGAGGATTTAGAGGAGAATAAGATGTAGTGGATCCACACGCACCATCTTCCTCCAAACCCTTTGGCTCTGAGCAGAGAAAGGAGGAAATTCTAACTGACACAATCAAAGGTTTTATTGAAATCAATCTTGAGGATGCACGCTTCCACGTTCTTAGAGAAGCAGTAGTGTAGCATCTCATGACCAAGAACAATGGAGTAAAGGGTAGATTTACCAGATTGAAAAACAGATTGAGAGATGTCTACAAGGGAGGTCAATAATGGGCCTAGCTTATTTGCTAGGACTTTGGTGAAGATTTTGACAATACCATTGAGAAGGCTAATGGGCCTAAAATCAGAAAGATGGCAAGGGGAGTCTGATTTGGGAATAAGAGAGATGGAGGAGAGGTTGACTTTGTGGAGAGAGGATGCATCCTTATAGAGGTGGAGGAAGAAAGCTATAATGTCCTCTTTGACGGTCTCCCAAAAGGTTTGATAGAATAGAATGGGGAAGCCATCTGGTCCTAGAGCTTTCTTAGGGTGAAGAATAAAGACAACTGCTTTGATATCATCCACTGAGAAATAGGATTTCGGATTTCAGATTTCACTAAGGCCTACACAGGGGGTTGGGTATAGATGGTTCCAGTCTACCTGAAAGTTGGATGGAGAGATGGCCTTGAAGTGGTTGGAGAAGTGTTAGAAGAAGGCTAATTGTTTATCAGGTTCTGATAAGATGATGGAAGTGTTAATAGTCAGGTTGGGAATGAAGTTTTTCCATCTGTGGTGGGAGGCAATTTTGTGGAAGAAGGATGAGTTGGAGTCCCCTTCCTTTAGCCATTGCAGTCTAGACCTCTGTTTCCAGTAAACTTCCTCCTTCTTAGCTAAATAAGAAAGAGAGTCTCAGAGGGAGGTTCTAAGATGGAGTTCTGAGTCTAGAAGAGGTCTAGATTCCTTAGTGGTATTAAAGGATTGAATCTTATAAAGGATATTAGATTTTTGAGTGAACCGAATACAAAATTTTCTCACCAATTGAGTCTTCTTTTGAGGAGTTTGAGTTTAAGATGGAAGGTGTCAACTAGGGATCCATAGTAGGAGAAGGATAACCAACATTGGGAAGTGAAAGATTTGAAGGATGGGTGAGCCATCCAAGCATTCTCCAGTCTGAAGAAATACTTAGGTGGTGGTTGGGAAGTATCAAGTATGATAAAAGAGTGGTTTGAACAGGAAGATAAATGTGAGAATTGGACCAAAGAGGGAAACTTAGATTGGAAGTTAGGGGAGATGAGGAATCTGTCCAGTCTGGCCAGAACAGGAGAAGATCTCATGTTAGACCAAATGAATTTCCTACCATTGAGAGGAAGGTCCATCAGGGACAAGGAATCAACTAGGTTCTTAAAGTGATTCATGTCTCTGAGGGAAGCAGACCTACCACTCCTTTCCCGAAAGGAAAGGGTGACATTGAAATCTCCAAACAAAGCCCAAGGGAGGGGGAACATATGGTGAATTCTATCGAGCTCGTACCAACAGACTTCCCTGTATAACCAGTCAGTAGGGCCGTATACTGTGGTGACTACGAAGGTCCAGTTAAGAGATCTATAGTGGAGGACGACTGAGATAGAGAAGACACCAATGTAGGAGTCAACAAAGTCTATAATGGAGTTATTCCAACCTAGTAGCNGCCAGAAAGAGATCCTCTAGCCACCAATGCTCTTGAGGACTACAGGTCTAACAGCACTAAGTTTGGATTCCTGGATACCTACGATGTCAGTTGCAGCCAGGTGGATGCAATCTCTAACTAGTCTTCTCTTAATAGGGTCATTAAGCCCTCTGATGTTCAATGACCTAAAAATCATAGAAAAGCAAAAAAGGAAGAAACAAATAGGCTGAGGGAGAAGAGGTCTAGGAGGTGACCCCTGCTCGCTCCATTTCCAGAGCTCTGAGATGAGTCAGTCCCTCTGGGGGAATCGGGTCCTTGCTCCGCAATTGGACAAAATGGATGCTAATACAGAATCAATCTTTCTATTGATAGGAAGAGAAATGGAGACCGAGGATGAGGACTTACTGCGCTTGGAGGATGAGACCAAGTAAATGTTAGAATTTAGCACTATACGAATCTCTCATGTGCGTGAACTAAATAAGGCTAAGAGCTTTGGAGGGAATACTATGAGATGATAAGTGAGAGGACTTAACATGAGATTGAGAACTTTGGAGAGAATATGAGATGGTGACTATGTGTTTAATTATGCGAAGTTGAGAGATTGAGAGAGGTAAGTGATTTCTCTTGTAACATTCTTCCCCATACGTTGTGGATTTCTAGTATTGTCTTCTCATCAATATAGGTCGAAATTAACCGAGTGAATCACGCAAATCTTAAATATTTCTTCTTGTGTGCTATCGTTCTGTCTTATGAGTATGTGGTTTGATCCTCGGGTTGCCAAGATCAAGATTGGGGATTTTGAATCCCCAACAAGAGCTAATATGGATTAGTTGGGTTTAGAACTAAAAAGATCTTGTATGACTATAATTAAATAAAGTTTTTCATGTTACTAATAGCTAACTAATCTCCAGCAATACTTTTCTTTATTTGATTTATTTATTTATTTATTTATTGGGGTGAGTAAATACTAACTAAATTTGTTGCGTGACAAAATTGCGTAGGTGTGGAGGAAGTGAAGATAGAGAGCAAGCTTAGAAGGGCTGTGGTGAAGGGAAAGGAAGTTGACCCTTTCAAGCTGTGTGAGAGAGTCCAAAAGAAGACTGGAAGGAAAGCAGAGGTACTCTCACCGCTCCCAGAGCCTCCGCCTCCTGAAGAAGAGCAAAAGAAAGAAGCAGCACCCCTAGAAGAGAACAAGCAAGAGGTGCCAAATTTTGTGAATACATAATAAGCAATAATTAGTTTTAAGGGCTGATTGCAAAGAGACCCCAGGTAGTATTTATTGTGACTAGAGCTCCTATAATTCTATTGGTGAAGATATACCCCCATTTGCTTTCTTTCCTTCCTCCCTTTATTATTATTATTATTATTTTGACTTTTAGGTAAGTCAAAACATTCACTAATAGGTGTATTTGCACTTAGACTAGTACTAAGGGGGCCTATTTGCTAAAATTGAACTATACGCGATCTATTCACAATTAGGTGATACCACAGAGGGTCCATTCTCAATTAACCCCAGCTTTAACACGTTCATGTCTCCTAAAATTTAAGCAATAGATATTGAACCACTCATTTTTATTTTTCTTAAACTAACTTTTCTTTTATTTTTGTTCGTGTTCAAAACGATAGCCAAAGCCGATTACGGTGGTCCTGAAGATTAGAATGCATTGCGAGGCTTGTGCTCAGGTGTTACAAAAGCGGATCAAGAAAATGGAAGGTATGTACCGCGGCGCATGTGATAATCAATACAATTAGTATTTCCCTTTCACATTCAATAATCAAGATTATCTCGTTGATCACCGTTGATATCTGTGAACATAGTGTTAGTATTAATATAGCATTCGCATGAGTCCGGAATCAAATAATGCTGGTCTTGTTTGGCAATTCATTCCCTAAATTGGTTTAAGGGACTAATTTGTATAAGAGTTTATAACATGTTTGACAAACTAAATTGGTTTAAGGCACTAATTTGTATAAGAGTTTATAACATGCTTGACAAAAACTTATATAATTAAATTGGACTGTTTTTTTAGTTTAATTAACAGGGTACCTTTGGACCATTGTTACCTTCTTTCAATCCTTACCAACCTAAACCCTTAACCGGATTAGTGTGAAGTTAGCCACTATGTTTAGCTAAATAGGCCAACATTGGCCCAGATTTTCTTACGCTAATTTCGCCTTAAAACTAGTTTTGTTTTGTACCATTTTTCTCTTGGACCAAAAACAATATATTTTAGTTAAAAATTGGGCTAGGAGTAATCATAACCAAATTTTAGAGTGATTGCCATAGACACCCTGCTAAAGGCACGTTAGTAATTTTTACTTGAACTGATACATGTAACTGCACCCCCGGCAATGAAATGTAACAGTACTAATCTTTTGGGGTTTTCACATTAATCCTTTTAAATCTTTACTATTTGTGAACTTGACCTTCTCACTGAAATTATAATTTAGCCCCTCAAATATTTACTCTCAGGTGTGGAATCAGTTGTGACTGATCTATGGAACGAACAAGTTATAGTCAAAGGCTTCATAGACCCAGAGAACTTAGTTGACTTTATCTACAGAAGAACCCGAAGGCGAGCCTCGATAGTCATCGACGAGAAGGAGGAGGAAGAACCAGAAAAGAATGAAGAAGAGAAGAAAGAAGGAGATGAAGGAGAAAAGGGCACGAATGACGATGCCAAGAAAATGGAATATTGGCCTCCCAAATATTACCTAGAGTATGTTAATTATGCTAATTATGCTTACCCACCACCTCAAGTCTTCAGTGATGAGAATCCTAATGCATGTTATGTCATGTGAAATAATGTCGATGTACGCTACATTTTATTACATGCGTGGCTTGATATGTACTGTTAAGCAAATTTTTGTATGTAGATAGTGGAATATGTTATCGATCTATATATGTTATAGGCTTTTCCCCACTCCTAATAATATAAGGGTTTGTTTGCTATGAGGGTAAAAGGGGTTAAACTTGATCCTAGTAAATTTTCTCCTAGGCTGTGTTTGGGAATGTTGATTTGGGCTTGGATTTGAAATTCTGGGTATTTCAAATCCAAATTTCGTGTTTGGACTCAACTTTAGGCCATGATTTTAAATCAAGTCATTTTATACAGTGGATTTGAAAAGCCCAAAAGTATGGATTTCAAATTTGGGCACACTACTTGGTATTTGCCAAATCCTCACCCCACGAAATCTAACCCTTCAAAACCCCGACTCCTCTTTTTCTCCTCTCTCACGCTCGTGTCAAAGTCCCGACGATCTCGATCTCGATCTCAAAGCTCAAGCTCGATCTCGATCTCGATCTCGATCCATCGCAGGTATCTCTCCTCTCTCCCTTTCTCCTCTCTCGGTTTCGGTCTCCCCCTTTACTCCTCTCTCTTCCCCTTCCATCGAAACCCTAGATCGGCTCTGACTTGACTTTTCTCTTTTATAGCTTGTTTTCATCGAAACCCTAGATCGTCATATTTGTACCCAACAGTTGAAGTAAGCGATTGTGCCTAGAAGTTGATAATATGAGTAATCTGTCATAATGCATTGGCTCTCTTAAAAATTATAATGATCAAATTGGTCAACCAGTCAATCTTGTATTCGGTGAATTAGACTGCATGCAGTAGTTTCTTGTTTCTCACTTAGAATGTCAAATGAAATTAAAAGCTCAATATTTTTATAGATACTTCATGACTCATTTGAAATTACTTATGTGAAAATTGAGCCATATATCCTAGATAGATTTGAGGATGTCATTGTATTCTATAACTAAATAGCATGTGATGAAAGTGATTAAGAAGAAATGTTTTCTTCATTAGGATTCTTCTCTATTTACTCATCGAGGGTTCAGAATGTATTTGGGCTATAGATTTTGGTGGGAGTTTCTCAATTTTTATATTCCTTCAAACTATAGCGAGTTTTCCTCCTCCATTCATTGACATAGTTTTTTGGGGGTCACAAATGCATGCTATTTCTTCTTGCATATAATTTTCACAATATTTGCAGCACGCAACACACAATGCATATAATTTTCACAATATTTGCAGCACGCAACACACAATCCTTGATTCAGAATTCTCAACAACTCTCAGTTTGCTACATAGTAAATTGTTTGCAGATTTCTGTTTTATCAATAACCACATAGGCAAAAACTACAGCCATATTATTCCATTGCATCCTCATAAATGTGGCATTTTGTGAAATTATGTTGTATTGATTGGAAGATTGAATGGATATTTACGGCATCCAGTGTTTATCATGTCCTAGATAAGACTTCCAGTACGTTCTGTTGTCGATTATTTGGCATTTCAAATACACATGAAATCATATTGATGGAAAGTTCATCTAACTATTAAGCTCAAATAACTGAACATCTAAACAAAGATATCATACAATGCTTGATCGTCTATTTTCCTTCTTGGGTACCCTTTTCTTTTCTTATGTTCTCTTAGTATTCTTCATCGTCAATGGTTGTTGATGGCTTTCATGAAAAATTTTCTACTTTTCTGAACTCAATTCCAAAGCTTTTCTTGAGAAGGCAAGAACATAAGAGACCAACTGAGCACCTCTTCATTGGTTTTCTAAATTTTGCTTTGTCCAACTTTTGCTAAAATATCTGTGATAATGCAGTTATAACTTGCCTAGTCGAAAAATGCATATTACTAGTTTGCTGTGGTTAAGGATTGTGCTAAAAAGTTTTCCATATTTCTTTCCTTAAGTACTTGTAACTTGCCAATGTGCGGTGATATATGCTTCATGCCGAGAAATAAGCATAGTAAGGTACCCTATTTACCTCAAAAATTCATGTCATTCCCAACTTCATGCCTGGACCATGACATGAAGCCTCAAGCCTCATTCTTATATTTCTATCTGCATTACGCATGATTGTGTACTGTATGTGCATTTTCACCAAATACAGAGAAGCAAACTCAATGCTACATATGTTTACATAATATTCAATCAGACAATTATTGAAGAAATGCCGCATAACCTATCGTACCTTTGCTATCTCCTCTGAAACCACATTATGTTTGCAGGAAGAGAAGTAGGTCTAGCATGAAGTTTTCAGGAGTAGTTTCTTAAGGAGTAGTTTCTAGTTTTCAGGTCGGACTACTTTTCTTCATCTCAATGTTATTCTTCACAATATTTTTAACCGAATATTTCTAATTTTTTGATGATTTCTTATGAATGCATTAGGGTTTGGTGATTTTGATGGATTCTTAGCTAATTCAAGTAAGGAGTGCTTGTCTCATCTCAAAGGTACAAATTTTTCATTTTATTGAGAATTCTGTTCTTTTTATTTAGTGTATACTTGATTATGATGCATTTCTAAAATGTATCTTTCATTAGGTTTGTGCAAGTCTATTTCTTTTCAAGTATAATTTCAACTCGCACATCTCCCTTGACACTATTGTTTTGGTGAATACCTTATTGTCGATCTATAATACCTTATTGTTGTGAAGACTGTCATGAATCTGAGCCTTGCTTCTGCCGTTTTAGTGACTCGTTCTCCTTGCGGAGCCTCATAATACCTTCAAACAGGAAGATCAGTTTGTTAAAAAATAAAGTCTAAAATGTGTGACTACATATCCCCAAAAATCAGCTGAATTAGCTCACTGTAGCTTCATTAGATGTCAATTATGCTCCAAAAGGGTACACAAATCAAGTTCATGACAGCAGAAAAAACCTGTAATTAATACAACGTGCATGAATGGGTCACTGCAGAACCTGAATGTAGATAACACTAGAAAGAACATGAGAGAACAGTTTGAAGAAGCTTACAAATACTTGCTATCAACGAAGAAATACTATTGGTCTGGAGCTCAATTTTCCAATTGGTCATGAAACAATGATATCACTAACAACTTGTCAGAGTTCTTCAATGCGTGGGTGATTCCAACTACATTTGCCTGTAGTGGACCTCGTCGACTAGATCAGGATAAAAATTATGGAGAGGATGGAGCAAAGGCCAAGAATGTGTAGGAAGTGGAAGGGAATACTTGTTCCCTATGCATAGAGGTATGTGAAGATTGAGTGTTTTCATTGTAAGAAGATCAGTTGATTGGGTCACTGCAGAGGTTGAGAATGAAATAGAGGAGAGATATTAATCTTGAGGAGAGGATTTGCTCATGTAGGAAATGGTAGTTGACGGGTTTACCTTGCATTCATGTTGCTAGCATAATTAGCAAGATAAGGAATGTTGATTGGGTAGATTACATAGATGATGAGTTTCATGTAGAGAGGTAGAAACAATTCATATATTATTAATGATTATCTTTTGGTGCCGTTAAGGTTAACTAACAAACAATATTCACTAATTTTAGGTATAAAAAAAAACATATGAACTGGCCATAGGTACTCTGCCATAGGTACTACTACATCCAGGATCTCCTCAATTTGCTTAAATGAACTAGGTATTGTTTACTGTTTTATCCCCTTTATAGTTCTTTCACATTTATTAATTGTGTGTATTTGAATGTTTTTATTTAGAACGAGTCACTAAAACGGCAGAAGAAAGGCTCTGATGTAAGGTTATGTTCGAATATCCCTTGACACTATTTCTTTTCCAGTGTGCTTTTCTCATAAGCAGTCTCAGGCTTTTCTAATGTCAACATTATGGGTTTTTTTTCGCAGGTCAAGCGTGATATTGTGCTGAGAGTGCTTGTGCTTTGGTCTCACCTTTTTCGGTTCTCATTGTCATTTGATATAGCTTGCTGCTTTGTCGAATGATTGTAGCTTATATGTAAGGGTTAATTGCATATACTCTCTGTGGTATCGTTTTTAAATTGCAACCCCTGTAGTGTACACTGTTGCAGATGTGCCCTTGGGTTAAAATTGTGACTGTTTTACCTTTGGACTTACTAATTTCTAGCTGAAGTCAAACAAAAGGATATTGGATTCGTTTGATGTTATTTGGGCCTTCTCTGTTCTCTGAGTTTATTGCCAGAAGTAGAAGGAATTGTTTTTGTATGTTGACAAATGATTCCTGTGAAGTTTCTTACTTTTGGTGTTTGCATTGGTGAGCTGATATATTGTACTAAAGGTGGTTGTGCTTTGGTCTCATCTTTTTTATTTCTCATTGTCACTTGTTGTGGTGTTTGCTTCTATGGTGAATGATTGTGGCTTATAGTATACTCTAATATATTGGCATCTGATGGTTTGGTACATTTGCTCTTTTATTGGATGTCTTTGTGAAAGATACTAGTGGAGAGTATATCAAAGTGATCTCCAAGTACGTTAACGGAAAAATTGAAAGATACTTCATATGTTTGTAGAGTTTTCTTCATTTTTATTTTGTTGAAACTCTTGCAAGTTATGTTGGGCAATGAATTTGAAAACTTAGCAAATGTAGTTATCATCGCCAAAATTACCTAAATTTGTGTTTTTTGGTTATTATTTTACACATCACCATTGCATTTGATGTAAACAAGATGGGTTAAAGAGAATAAATTTTCATCAATTTTAAATTCAAATTCATGTATAATAAAGTACCCAAATACTAGATTTTAAAATCAAAGATTTCAAATCCTTTCATTTAATAAAGATATCCAAACAAAAGATTTCTTAAATCATGGATTTCAAATCCTAAATTTAAAATCCCTTGATTTTAAATCAACTTCCCAAATCCAAATCAAAGTTCCCAAACGCAGCCCTAACTAATTGTGAACGTGGACACGAATAGTGGTGGTCCCCACCATGTTTCAATGGATCACGTGAACCCAAGCTCGCGTGAAGAGATTGTGATGAAATCTCGTGAACAGTTGTGAAAACAAGCCCACCCGAATAGCTTGAAGCTATAAATATAACTCTTATTTGTTTCCTGGGAGTGCGTGCAAAGCAAGTGCACGGAGGTTGTTAATTGCGACTGTGCTTGGGCGCGCAAGGAAAGGACGATAGATAGAAAAAACGACGACAGTGCATGTGCAAGGCAGAGGTGCGAAAGCTGCTGTCCTTCTGAGAAGAAACGTAGAGGAGTCGCCGGCTTTTGAGAGAGTTTTGTCATCCTTTTTTCGAGAGTTTTTTGTGTGAGGGATTTGAGAGTTTGTTTGAGGGTTTAGCTTGTGAGATTGTAAACCCTAGTTATATTCTCTCCCTCTAATAGTAGATCTCCCCCCCCCCCCCCCTCCTTGCCCCGCGAACATAAACAATTTGCCGAACCACGTAAAATTTGTGTTCTTACCGTGATTTGTAATAGCTTATAGGTTCCCTCGACAAGTCAGTACTAAAACTGATGAGAGAAAGAGCTGATATCTCACTTTGTTAAGATATTTTACTTTCGGTTCTTGTTTCCTTTGTAAAACAGGATTTCCGTTATGATCTAATCTCTTGTTGTGCACCTTGCGCACCGGAGGTGCTGTCGAAATTTCCGATGCGCACAACAAGTGGTGTCAGAGCTTCGGGTTCGGCTTGAGGCTTGTTTGAAGGATTCGCTGAAGGATTCATATTTGAAGAGTTAGATCGACAATATGGGTGAAGCTAGCACATCGGGATCGTCTCTTACGAAGACGATACATAGTTTGAGCATCAATAATATGAAGATTGATGTTCCGAAGTTCGACGGCAAGATCAATTTCGGTTTGTGAAGGTGTCAGGTGATGGATGTGTTGGACGCTCAAAACTTAGAAGAGACTCTTGAGTTGCAATAGAAACCTGCTGATATGGAAGAAAATGTCTGGAAGAAGATGAATAGTAGGGCATGTGGAGTTATTCGGTCATGCTTGATTGATGTCGGATCTTATTTATGATGTGATAAACGAGACGTCAGTGAAGAAGATGTGGAAAACACTCAATGAAAAGTATCTTACTAAGAGCATTGAGAATCGGCTTCACTTGAAGAATAAGTTTTACCAGTTCAAGATGAAGAGAGGAGTTTCCATCAGGGAGCATGTTAACAACTTCATGAAGCTACTTTCAGACATGGCCAATATGGATATCATGGTTGAGGATGAAGACAAGACGATGCTACTTTTGTGTTCATTGTCCGAGGATGATTATGGTACTTTTGTCCTAACTATAATTAATAAAAGAACTACTGTTAGTTATAAGGAGGTGACCTCAGCGTTGGTGAATTATGAGTTGAGGAAGATTGTCAATGAGTCCTCCGAGAAGGCATCGGGAGATGCATTAGTAGTTCGAGGTCGTGGTTCAAACCGAAGCAGGAGGTCGCAGTCTGGAGGGGCACATCGTGAAATTCGTAGGAATCAGTGTGCTTTTTGTAAAGAGAATGGACATTGGAAAGCTGAATGCCCAAAGTTAGATCGAGCTGAGAAGAATAAGGGAAAAGTTGTACAAGGTTCAGAGGTGAATGTTATCAAGACTGCTGGCAACAATTCAGATTCGGATTCTTCAGGCTATTCGTTGTCTGCACTACCGTCAGTTTGTGTTGCCAACTCTACAGAGTGGATATTAGATTCGGGTGCTTCTTACCATGTTTACCCCAGGAGAGATTAGTTCTCCAGCTTTCAGAAGTTAGAAAGAGAGGATGTTGTGCTCATGGATAATGGACATGCATGCTCTATTGGTGGTATTGCTACCGTTCGGATTAAGATGAGTGACGGGGTGATTCGGAAGTTGGATGAAGTGAGGTTCGTTTCAAAATTAAAGATAAACATCATTTCACTTGAAGCTTTAGAGGTAGCAGGCTATAGGGTGACCTTGGTGGATGCACGTTTGAAGGTCACATTGGGATCCATGATTATGATGAAGGGCATCAGAAGAAACAATTTGTATTATTTGCTCGGAAGCATGGCAATTGATAGGGAGTTGACGACTTTATCAGATTCGGCTAGACTGTGGTGTTGTTTGATGCTGGGATATTTGATTGGTAATGTCGTGCATAGGTTGTTGAGGAGTGCTTTGACCTGCAGTTTGAAGTCCCGTGAACCCATTGGTATGAGCAAGAAGACCGGAATGGAGTTTGGCACTTCTATCCATCATTCGAGGAGTCTTCTGAAGGGTGTTCATTCAGGCATTCGGGGGTCTTCCAAGGGAGCATCATTGGGAGGTAATAGGTATATAGTTTCTGTAGTTGGGGATTGTTCTAGGCTTTGGTGGGTTGCAACCAAGTCTCGTTGGTGTGAAGTCCTAAAAGCCCGCAACAAATGGAGGAAGTGTGTTGATAGAAAGGTAACCCAACGTTCTGATTATGGTAAGGGTTCTTTCTTGCGTTTGTACCGAGCTCACGGCAATAGGACACACTTCATTGGTGTGGAAACTTTGAGGCGACGTGATGAGATGGCAGATTTGGGGAGTTGTTCCTTTCTGGAGGAGGATCAGCGTTTGATGTCAAGCGTTGCCATCGGTGTGAGGGCTACGACATGTTTGGGCCATCTTATGCATAGATTGTCGACTGCTGCATGTAGAGATTTTGGATCTGGTGGAGCTGCTTCAGATTTTGGGTTACGTCGTATGTTTGGCTACCCAACACTTAGTCATATCGTGGATATGAGATTTGATCCGATAACACATTTGGGAGTCAGAAGCATGATTGATTATCAGGTATTGGCTTCTGACTTTATCTGAGCAGGTATATCACGTTTGACTCACGATAGGTGGAGAGTGGTGATCAGATCATTAGGACATCACAACGGGTGGAGAGTGATGCTACTCCACGTTAGGTGAAGATTATTCCACATACTCCAGATTATACTGCATCATTTGGGATTCTAGCTGATATGACACAGATTGGGAATCATGTTGATTTGGATACAGATGATAGGTAGATCGATTCGAGTGTAGCTAATAGATAGAGTCTGGATATGGCCATTGGTTCATCTCAGGTGGAGATGTTTGGATTGTTTCTGTTTGGGACCATTGGAGGTGCTATCAGCTGTAGACTTGATCGTGATGTTGGAGAAAGGTTGTAAACTCTTCTAGTGGATTGAGGCCTTTGGAGGCCATTTGGGTGAACTACGTGAAGACTTGATTCCTTGGGCAAGAGGATACGTAGGTAGTCTTTTCGATGCAGCCAGTTTGATTTGTTGATTTCGATGGTAGGGTCGTTTGAGCTTTCGTTCAGGTTCCTAACTTGTTGTGGATTGAGTCCGTTGTCATGAATTAACTTCACGGCATACTGGACACAACAAGTGGGATATTTGGATGCTTTGGTGTCGGCTCAGTTTTGGGAAAACTTCACCGAGGTAGAGAATTATAAACGCGGACACGGATAGTGGTGGTCCCCACCATGTTTCAATGGATCACGTGAACCCAAGCACGTATGAAGAGATTGTGATGAAATCTCGTGAACAGTTGTGAAAACAAGCCCACCCGAATAGCTTGAATCTATAAATATAACTCTTATTTGTGCCCTAGGAGTGCGTGCAAAGCAAGTGCACAGAGGATGTTAATTGCGGCTATGCTTGGGCGTGCAAGGAAAGGACGAAAGAGAGAAAAAGCGGCGACAATGCGTGTGTAAGGCAGAGGTGCAAAAGCTACTGTCCTTTTGAGAAGAAATGCAGAGGAGTTGCCGGCTTTTGAGAGAGTTTTGTCATCCTTTTGAGAGAGATTTTTGTGTGAGGGATTTGAGAGTTTGAGGGTTTAGGTTGTGAGATTGTAAACTCTAGTTGTATCCTCTCCCTCTAATAGTAGATCCCCCCTCCTTACCCCATGGACGTAGGCAATTTGCCGAACCACGTAAAATTTGTGTTCTTGCGTGATTTGTAATAGCTTGTAGGTTCCCTCGACAGATCAGTCCTAGAAATGATGAGAGGAAGAGCTGATACCTCACTTTGTTGAGATATTTTGCTTTCGGTTCTTGGTTCTTTTGTGAAACAGGATTTCCGTTATGATCTAATCTCTTATTGTGCACCTTGCGCAACGAAAGTGCCGGCGAAATTTTCGCTGTGCACAACACTAATTTTACTCGTATTTGTTATCATGTTAAAATTTCACCAATGTTAAAATTTCACCGATG